TCAGCAGGATGAGAGTGGGTTAAGTGGAAGAATCATCCAGACCCAGTCTTCATCCTAGAAAAACTGGTTCAAAAGCCCACAGAGAATTAGTGCAGCAGGATCTTTGAAAAAAAAATAACCACCTAGACTCTGTAACTTTCCTCAACATACTCACTCCATATTTCCACAGATACGGAGTATGACACAGCCCACTAATGCACTAGCTGTTAGTTGCTGCTATTTGGTATGCTACACGAGTGAAAAGCTGGAGACTACACTTCAAATATGTTGTGTACTACACTGACTTGGTGACATATTAAAGACTTTGAGAGTGAAAATGTAAATCCTTTTTTTCTATCTGATAAACATGAACAACTACAGGTTCTTAAATCTCTTTTATGTCAACATAACACCGCCTAGAGTGGGAAATAAAAGTTATGAGCAACTCATTGTATCTGAATCTCGGAGACAGAAGATGTCTGTGGTGTGAATATGTGCCCCTGCAGCTGGCAAGTGAAACAAATTTTATTCAATTTAATTATGAACTGTATATTGTAATGAGGCTGGAATTATTCACAGTAATTCACTTTTAAAAGCAGTACAGAAGAACACTAAAAATGCCACAAGAATTCCAGAGAATATGCAATACCTCAAAGTTTCCCAGAAGGCTAAGACTTGTTACTGGTGGAGCGCTGGAACTCAGAAACGGTTTCCCATGGCCCTCCGGATCACTGTCTCTGTTTATACATTGTTGTGGGCTAGTAAAGACAGAATAAATATAAAGGATAAACACATTTGCTCTTGTCTTCTGGGTATAAACAGCTCTAGAAAGACACATTTACCTACTGTATTACAAAATGTTGCCCTACAGAAGTAACAGTTGAGCACTGACTGCTAATAAATACTTTAGCAAAACATTTTCTAGCTAACTGAAATAAATACATGTTTTACATTCCAAAGGATAGAGACAAAAATTTAGGTTGTTCATTAACTCCATTAGCAGGAGCCAAAGTGTCAGATTATTTTCTCTTACACGCAGGTGTGTTTGTGTCATATTCTGAGGTTTCCAACGTCAAGCTACCATACAAAAAGTTGTTTATGTTGAGTGTATTAATGTATTAAAAGGGACCGACCATGACTTTTTGAAGTTCTCTGGACAAAACATTTAACCCGTTCAACACTAAGAAAGCATAACACAAAAATAACACTGCTTTGAAGAAGAATAAACTATTAGTATCTTTTCTGTTTGAAAATTCTGTTTGAAAATTGTAAGTGTATCTTACATTCAAGTGCACCTACCCCTGCACGGGACAGTCCGTGCCAGCAGCAGCTCTCGTACCACGGTTATGTCCCAGAGCCGTGCTCACCTGCAGTCCCTGGGGCAACTCGGCTGCCAAGCCTTATTCCAAAATAAGGATTCTTTTGAACGGCACCCGTGTTGAGAATTCTCTTTGCCAACATACTTTGTTGTTGCATAGAGGTATGTGTACACATCATGTCTCCCCAAAATTTCATAATGTTTCTGGTAACTAAAGCATACCTCCTTGCAGACAGACATTTCAACTGCAGCAGTGATGAATCCAGATCAAAGCACCCAGACTGTGTTTTTCTTTGAGGAACCTCAAGAGGGAAAGAAGATGCTAATTTGAAAACTATACCTCTAGGAAGGCCAATTTTGCCAAGTAAGCACAAGAATTGTCATGACATTACAAAATTATAAAAACAGAGCAGAAGAGAGCCATTCCTGTACATTCTAGACTTAGAAAAATCTAGAAAATTCCAAAATGACAAGACTATAAATCCTGATTAACAGGAAGTACTTAAATACAGACTCATTCAGGAGGCTGACGTCTCTTTGGAACGGTACAGAACATTACTAATGAATGGGCTGTAACAATTTCCATCCAAGTTCCCTGAAAATATGACAGCCTTTACAAGCACTGAAGAATAAAACATACCATGTGTTGATTGCACAACATCACCACTTTGGTAGTTTTCACTGGGGCTGCCTTTTTCTTTAAAACTCTCAACTACCTACCAGGAACTGTAACACTTCCCCAGTGTCTTTGTCTTATCACGGCAGCTTTGTAGCACTTAGTCATTCAATGACATCCCTGACTGCTGAGGAATATAAGGTACAAACTGTTCACAGAAACAAAAGCTTTGGAATAATAGGCAATCAGGTATTAATAACTCACACAGAAAACTCTTAAATGACAAAACATGCTAGCTTACACTTAAAACACTAATCTTCAAAACGCTTTCTTTTGTGCTCTAAAATAGCACTGAAGCTGGTTTTTTTCCCCACACAATTTTCTAATGTCACCTTTTGTTAATCTTGATAGGATCTCAACAACTACCTCTTCAATATTTTCTCTTCCAGAATTATTGCTCAACTTCATTTGAGAGTTAACTCTCAAATTTCCACTTGCAAGTCTATTCGCTCTGACACTGAACGCAAACACACACACTTCACCTAGGTGATTTCTCAAATTTTCTACCAAGCACGGATATGAAAAGAACAAAACACTTCATTTCTCATTTAAAAGTGAAGTTACAATTTCAACAATAACTTACAGGACTTGAAAGCAGAGGCAATCCAGTTCTGGGATGAAAAGCCTTGGTTGAAGTTCCATCCAAGGATCGAAAATTATGTTTCCGCCATATATTTGTGTGTTTTAGAGATGGTGCTTTCTGTCAGCAAAAAAACCTTACTCAAGATCTCAACGGGACATCTCAACGGGACATTCCAACGGCCTATCAGGGTAACACACTGCCGTAACAGAGAGGACTTCCGAATCAGGTGGTTCAGAATATGCCGTCCACACAGGCATATTACCATATATTCAGAATAAACCCCCCTTGGGCCAATATACAATCACACAGGCTGCTCACTGAAGATCACATACCATATTCAGACACTGGGAGGTTTAGAAAAAGACAGGATGCCTAACTGCTATGGAAACTGTCGTTCATAACGCTATCACCATGAGCAGAACAGAAGAGTGCTCTTCTCGACGTTAAACGTGCTATTAAGAAGGTACAGGGGAGGTGCTGCCAGCCAAACGCTGCTTCAGACCACCAAGACGACAGCAACGTGCTGCTTCCCACAAAGTCAGACCTCCTCCTGTCAGTCCCTGGCAGATACAGGGTACCAGCTACGCAACCAAGAGCAACCATAGGACAGATCTTTTCCTCTACGTATTTACCTGTACGTCTGGGTTCTTCAGCCGCTCACACTTAACGACGCCATCCTCTGCAGGTTTCTTCTGAGAGCTGCTTTGGCAATCAAGGCCTATTGGGTCTTCATTCTCATCATGTGCAGTTTTTGCTTTATCTTGTTTGGTTTTGGTTTTGAAACTGTCGTGCTCTTTATTTAAATAATTTTCAATACTAATAAGCTGAGTATTTTGCTCATAAATATTTGGGGGTTTTGAGTCTTTATCTGAACACTTGAGCTCATTTTTGTGCAAAGAGTCAGATACCTGCATCACAGTTGCTTTTTTTGTACCTTCAAGTATTCTGCATTTATCTATCTGTAAATTGTTAAAACTGTCCGTGCCGTTGTTCTCGCTAACAACTGTTCTTTCTTTAAGTTTATTTGTGCAAATCTGTTCATCAACGCTGCCAAAATTTGAACATGCTTTAATTCTATGGGCTATCTGGTCTTTCTGTGCATAACCAGAATGTACCATTTCCAATTTATCTGGCAATTCCGATTTATTTTCCTTAGTACATGATGATGATGTGTGACTGTTGGTAAATGCATGGGAAGTTTTATTGGAAGTCTGATGAAATGCATTTCGGACAGCTTCACCGGGTTTCGCTAAAACCAATTTTCTTCTTGCCTGGAGTTTCAGAGGAGCCTTCAGTTCTCCATCGAACCTAGAAGGACTAATAGGTGTGTCAGGTGCCTTCGTCCTTGATTTACTGCTGTCTTCTAACAAAGAAAAACTTGATTTAGCCAAAGAAACAGAAGACGGTTCCTTGCCTTTCTTCAGCAAATTTTCATCTTCGTATGTACTTCGGAAAATTTTTGAAGAAACTGGGTTCGTCTCATGACCTTTGAACGGACGCCCAGTAACATGAGAAGTAGCTGGATCACAATGAATCAAGTGTTGGGCAATCCTTGCTATCACCTCCTGCCGCTCCTGGAGCAGAGAATCAATGAGGGGATTACTCTCTCCTGCCGATGGACGGCCACAGTGGTTCACTGGAACACGGGCATCGAGCAGCGGCACCTCTGGAATCACTCTAGTTTTGCCTTCACCATCTTCTTGCATTGCATTGTCCAAGCTGGCAATGGAAGCAGGGGAGGTCTCCTTGCCTTTCCTCGGCACGTTTTCATCTTCGAAAGTACTCCGAAAAGCTTTCGGTGTAGCCGAGCTGTTTTCATGCACGTTGAACGGACGTCCAGCAACAACTGGTGAAGTAGCTGGATCACAGTGAATCAAGTGCTGAGCAATCCTTGCAATGACTTCTTGTCGCTCTTGAAGTAAAGAGCCTATCAAAGGATTGGTTTCTCCTGTGGGCTGGTGAGAGCAACGACCGCTCGAAACACGGGAATCAACTAGAGAAAAGGATTTAAAAGTTCTGACAGGTGTTTCATGAGCTTGTGTCTTGTCTCCTCTATCATTATAGCACTGAACTTTAGACTGCGATGCTCCAAAGTCAGATCCAACTCCAGTAGATGGATAAAGTTTTAAATTTCTGACAGATGTTGTAAATTCAGGTGTCTTTTTTCCATTAAGTAGGCCTTCGGGTGTCACCGTCCACGTCTGTTTCCCACAGAAGCGCTGCGGACTGGAGGTACCGCATTGCTGTGCTGCACTGGAATCACCATGCTGATGTAACTTACGCTCTTGCATTCGCTTTTCGTAAAAGCTAAGGTTGGTGTGAATACTACAGGTCAGAACTGGGTAGTTCGACTGTCGGGGCAAGGACTGGACGCTGACTCTCAAGGCCACGTTGTGCGAAACGTTAGGAACAGGAAAGACATGCTCAGTTGGTGTCTGGGAGAACGTCCACTGCAAGTCCACATCTGCAGCGCTCACCCTGAAACCATACAGAAGGACATTTACAGAAATATCTAAACGACGAATCTTTAATTATCTGCTTCATAACGCAAATGCCTACGAAAAAGCACTAGAGATACCAGCAACTGCTGTACTTCGCAAAGCGTATGAATCCTATACAACTGCCAAAGTCCTGGGCCAACAATGTGGCACCTTCTGAGAGGAAACAGGAGGGAAGAATGAGTTTAAGGCAAGTTGCAACCACCCGCGAGGAGCATACAAGGTTTTCCCCATCCCAGACCCACCTGTACAGAATGTTTCGGGGAACAGCACCATGTGAAACGCTCAGCCACGCGCTCAACTGGGAGAAGAAAACGAAGGAGCGAACAGCCAGTAACAGGGTCTTCTCTTCAATAAATCGATCTCCACTCCTAAAATGTGTTCAGAGAAACATAAGGATGTTGGTAGGAATATACACAGGGAACTATCAGAACTAGAACGTGACATTTTCAGATCTTCATTCTGATGGCGAAACACAGCTGAATCAAGCCGAAACTCCTCAAACACTTCGAAGATCACAGAGCCTGGTTTGGTTTTATCCACATAATTTATATAATTTAACACAACAAAGAACATATAAAAATGACCATTTTCAGCTAGGAGCATTCCACACACTGCGCTGCGCGACAGGCACTGCAGAACGTATGACTACAGGAAGACTACGATTAAAAGATGTTTAGGTTTAACTGGTAAACAGTGCTTTTAGATTAGTCCTTGTGGCAAAGGCCAGTTCAAAACCACTAACCATTTACTTTAAGGACTTTAATAAGACCAGATCCTGGCAACTACCAGCTAATCCTAATATCCGACTTACTGTCGAGGAACTGGCTCCAAAATCCACCTTTCTAACAGCAATGCATCTTGCTTGATTGCTGGATCATTTAAATCATTGCCCTCGGTGGTGGGCCCTTCATCACTATAGCAACAGTCTGGAAGTAGCATCACTTCTACCATGATTGGAATATTGTTCTTCCACAGTAGCATAACCTCAGATCTGGTTCGCCTGGCTTGACGACACTGAGGGAAAGAAAAAAGGTCAACATATGCAAGCCAGAAAAATACTAGCCAGATTTAAATCTACTCTAAGTACATGTTCCAAAGTACTGTAAAAGGGTAAGGGTCAAATTCTGTAAACTAGGTTTCACCAAATCAGAAATAAGACTCCAGAGCTATTCAATTAACAAATCATTTATGGTTGCCATTTCAGCAGCCTCTGTAGAAAATTCTGAGATAAATAAATTATTACTTGAGAGGTGGGATGCTCCAACCTTACACCCAAACAGACTAGCTAGATTTTATGTGCTCGTGTTTTTTGGATCACTAACTTTTCAAGGATACTTGGAAAAGCAGAAAGTTAGGCAAGTCAGCCTACATTTTCTCAAAAAAAAGAAAAAAAACCCACCCAACCCCAAACCAAGAATGCTAAGTATAGCACTCTCCATTTGCATAATAAAGACTCAAATAGGTACTGCATTCAGGTAGTCGTGCAGAATTTCATGTTCAAGGATAAAAGGCTTAATGATCTCTCATTTTAAGGACAGATCTATTATTAGTACAATACTGAATTACATACTGGTTTAAACATGGGACTGACAGAAAGCAATTGTTATTCATGCTTAACTGTGAATTTACCGTGGGGGTTCTCAGCCGACTTCAACTGTGGCAGCAAGGCTGCAGGCCACAACGCTCAAAGTGAAGGGGTACCCTCATACCTGAGCCAGTTTGTCGCTGCATTCATGCTTAGTTGTTGGCGGCTGACTGGACTGTGCCGGCGGGCAATGAAAGCCCTCTGTTCTGCCCTTGATCGAATACTCGGGTGTCCGACCTTCGGTGATCAACAAGGCCAAGGAGACCAGGAACTCCTCAGCTTCATACTCAAAGTACTCATCCAAAGTATCTGTCATTTCAAAAAGACAAAAAATAATGACATCTGCTGTATAACGAGCTTTCAAGTGTTGGCTGTCCCCAAGGTTTGTTACACTTAACATGAAAGCTATGGGAAAGGGATCTTTGCATCAGTCTGGCCGCACTCCCCAGAAGGCCCAAGTTACTGTACCACCACAAAATGTCTTTCCTCATCTCATACCATTGTCATTCCAGGCAGAGCAAGTTGGAAATACCCTAAAGGAAGCTTCATGCAGCAACTGGTCAACGCACCAAATTTCAGTGGTGCTGAGAAACAACCGTTTGTGCTGTGAACCACAGCTGGATCACAGCTTCTCTACCAGCAAAAAGTTCCCTGGGCTCCAGTGGGAGAGGACTGATGGCAGTAGGACTTGGCATCATTAGTATCATGTGACCGACAGAAAAAGAAGCCGCAATACATCATAAAATACATTAAAAACTGACTAAGAAAAAAATAGAAAGATTTACTTGTAATAGAAAAAGTGGGACACAATGTTCTATAAGGTTTTTTGTACTGCGAGTCCCTCCTGCTGAGAGCAAGGCTTACTTGCGAGGTCCATTTTTAGTTACCATTAACACACAGACAAGGTTCTCAAGGACCACACAGAGTATTCATTGTTTTCTACCTGGTCAGTCTAAACTTACGCAAAGAACTAAAACTCAGCAAGTCTCTGCAGACAAAGCAGCAGCTGGCATTGCTTTTCATGAATTGCCCTGGCAGAGGTAGGATGCACCAGCCTCCTCATTTTAAGGTGTTTTGCAGAGCACCCTTCTCCTCCTCCTCCTCCCTCATCACGAGGATGTCACACATCATTCAAACAGATTCAAGTACAACCAGATCGTGTCATTCCTCTCTCTCTCTGCTTGGAAACGCTCAAGTTTCGAAAGGATTTTGTTACTCAAGAGCTTACAGAAAAACCTCTTTCCTGAGAAAGCTAAAACACGTTCACTTCAAAGTCTATTTTAGGAGCAGCAAAGAAAAGCAGGTGGAGGCAAGGCTGCCAGCAGTTCTTGACCTTTATTTTTATGCTTTGGGGGAACAAAAGCACATGACATCTTCACAATTTTAGCTTAAATGTCCTATGTTATCCACCAAAACAAAACTGCCACGGGGACAGAGTTAATTTTGATTCATGTCTTGTCTACCATACATAAAATACTTTGCCACTTGGGTAAATAAAAGGCATTCAGAAGGTTTTTTTGCCTTCACTCCCTAAAGCAGAGAACTTGGCAAGCATGGCAAGGCAGACTTGAGAGATCCATACAAGAAGGGATGCATGAAACAAAAGCTCCAGTTAAATGTGCAATTACCTGCATATGCAAATTGCAGAGTGTGCAAAACTAGATTTTGCATGCACCTATTTGCCTAGCCCAGGCTTGTACTCCACAGACCCCAGGGCTTACAGCCTGTTTTGAGGGATTGACACAAGGTAAACAAGAAAAGTCAGCCCACTGCCAGGGAACTTGGTTCACTGCACAGGAGTCCTCATCTCTATCGACCCTGTTTTTCCCCCTGTTTAAAGGAATGCACTTAGACAGCTGCTTTGGGTGGCAGGGATGGGCCCTCTTCCTGCAGGGCACCCCCATCTGTCCATGACACACGCGGTCAGAGTTAGGGCACTCCCGACCCGCGCCGTGCGTGCCACATCTGCACGCACACATCTGTGAAAAGGTGCCAGGCACTGGTCTGCCACAACCAGCACGAGCCCTGTGGCTCCATCCTTGGGGGGAGTCGAGAAGGGGCTCTCCTGACACAGCTACCTGTGCTAGCTGCCTGCCTCCCGCCCTGCGGAGCGCCCCGACCAGGAAGGGTGCGCAGGCCCAGGAAGAACAGGGTGCTGCCAGGACAATTCATCCGGCCACTGCCTGCCCTCGGGCAGAAGAAAAGCCAGAGGATAGATGAATTACCCCAGAGAACCCCATACGGCACATGAGCGATACGTTAACTCATGCCAGATGATTTAAAGTGGTCATTCATCTGACGGATGGCAGAAAATTACTAATAAAGGGTGCGTGAAACATTAAAGGCATGGTAAATAACAGAGGAGACAAGACACTTAGTGATATGAGTCACCTACAAAATTAGGCACCTGCAATTAATTTTTTTCAGCTGAAAATCTGATGAACAACAGGCAAGTCATACTTCAGGATATGGGATTTGGAAAGAGTCTGAAAAGGATTTGGGTATTACAACTGACCAAAAAAAAAAAAATTGCAGCATTATCTTACTGCTAACACAAGCATCATGCTCATCTTTATGTCCAAAGGCCATAGAAATGTTAAGAAAGCCACAGCAGGAAGGATCACTACTGTGGTATTTTTCCTACTCGGACACACAAGTCTCAAAAAAATCTAGACAGTGCTCAGCAGGAGTGACATTAATTTAAATAAGGATTGCCTCATGCTTAGCAGACTAAACGAAGGGGGAATTCATCCTTAAGAGAATGTATAAGAGGAATTCTGTTTAGTTAAAATACGTAAAAATATTAGTGGTTTTAAAGAAAAAATTAAAAAGCTTGATCAAGATCTGCACGTGCTTCTGCAGACAGAACCTCTCTGAAACACCTCCTTACTGTAACAGAAACATGCACAGCAAGATGTGATACTTGAAAACATACACTAGAGAATTTTAAATGGCAAGTAACAGTAAAAGAGACATGGCCTTTAATTCATATTAGCAGCTTACCATGGGAAGACAGCACACCTTCTAGTATTTGACTCTCTTTTTTGGGTTGTGGTTTTTTTTGTTTGTTTGTTTGTTTGGTTGGTTTGTTTGTTTTTTTTAAAGAATCCATCTAATGTTCTGGATGTGTCACAAATCCCATGGCCTGAGTGCTTCTGCTCAGCTGGTCAGATCCAGGTAAAAAGCCCACACCCCTTTGGCATTCCAAAAAACCTTTTACCAAAGCTTATATTGTATACTAAAAAAGCTCAGTACCTTCACAGATATGCATTACAAAATGTCACAGCAAGACAATTTAAGCGTGTCCAAATGCAAGATCCAGTGAATCTAGTAAATAAGCAACATCTGGTGAATAAAGCCAGGTAAATAAGGCTGAAATAACCAAGATCCAGAATACAGACACGATATTACTGTATGGAAACAGATAAAACTTACTTTTACATTCCATTTGCAAACACTGTCCTGCACAGCCCTACTGTTCAGAAGCAACTGGTTTCTTGCCTTAAGGATGGAAGAGGACACCCAACCAGCTAGAGAAACATACTTGTTTTGCTATAAAAGTTACAAAAAAACGATGATGTTTCAAAATAAAAACTGCATCTCCTTCAAGGATGGTAAACAGCAAGTACTGCACTAGGAAATGCTACTGTTTTCATAAGAGCATTACAAAGACACGGCCAACACTTGAAAATCATGTCAGAGTAAAAAAACAGGCATTTGAACGGGACTTAAAAAAAAGAAAGCATGAATAGCAATGGATATTGAGAAATATGTTTTCCTACAAAGTTCATACGGCGTATTGACTTTTTTTAGCTCTACAGGATTTCTATAGCATTTAGCAACTTCTAAGAGTTTTCATAGAGGAAAAAGCCCTATAAATAGAGGAGCCTGGTAATTGTTCCTATACAACAGACACAGATGATGCAAGTTGATGTAATTGAGGACAAGGGTGAAGAGACATTTACAGAAACAGCAAACTCAGTGTTCAGTTAAAAAAAGTCTCACTGTGTGTGTGCTGCAACTGTTTGTGTGTGAATCAGCCCTGAAGACACACATCATATATTGTGCATAGAATAGCCTCAATCCTATAATCTGACTATACAATTATGATGATTATTCTGCTTCATCCCTCGCAACGGAACATGCAAGCACAGAGCGTAAAATATGCATCCCAGCAGCGTCTGGGTTTTATTCCCCTTGAAGTTCCTTTAGGAGGAAAAAAAAGAGAAAAATATAAATTTAGACTGAGGCTACTGCACATCAACCAAAACACACAATAAGCCAGAACTGAAACCTGGAGGCACATCTTTTTGTCTTCCTTAGCCAACCTCAACTGATTTTCTACAACTTCTGGACAAACAGAAAAGCCTGCTTAACCAGAGATGTCATCAAAAATGACAGCCTTCAAATCCTTGTCCTCCCTCACCCATATGTGCACAATCACTGGAGCACTGGAATAAAGAACAAGAACTCAACACACACACCCCGAAAAGTTTAATTGGCTCACATCCCAAATCATCATGGAAGTTTGGTACGTGGTACCAGGGAGTCAGGAATCCACTTAACTGCAACCCAAGGACTCTCCCAAAACTTCAGTTCACCCAGTTGTGCCCAGCTGACCCCGCTCCCAGCTTAGGTCGTGCTTGTGTGGACCAATTCCCTTCCCCTTCCTACTGCAGTTTTCTGCAGTAATTACAGAAAGCGTTTTCCTGAGAGATGTGTATTGGAAGAGCATTTAATCTGTTTTCTAGGCTCAGACCGGGAACGCAGACACTGGGTATGACGGGATGCCTCGTGCCCCAGGGACCCCCAGAGGATACTGTCCTGCCTGGGGGGCAGCAAACGGCCCCAGCAGAGCTGCCCTGTGCCCTCCTCCCATCACAACCAGGCAGTGCTGCAGCTGCAATCTCTTAGTCCATGCTTATTTTATTGTCCCAGCATCTCTCTCACTGCACTGGACACCAAAATATTTACCAAGCTCGTCCTCCTCAGAAGAGCTCATTTTGGTAAAGCACCTTTCTTCAAAGACAAATTTGCTCAACTATCCATTAGTCCTGACCTCCACCGATTCGGAGGGCTACTTAGTGAGAACTAATAATTTCCTTTAAATATGCCCTACATGGCAGGAGAGCTGGGTACACTGGGGGAAGAGCGACTGCACTGACGGCTTTTGGAACCTGTCACCTCCCAGCAAAGGCATCGCTCTGCATTTCAAAAAATCAGAGCAAAAGCTCTCCGGCCCTTCCCCCAACAGTCAACTCTGAGTAAGTTTTATTATCTCACTATTCCAAGAAGCAGGTTCAAGG